AATTATCACAACAAATTATCACATGAAAAAACTACAAAAGTAAAATTTTGTTATTTATATATGTAATTCGTGATTTTTTTTTTCTAAATCCGAAATAATAAAATTGGTTGATCATTCGTATAAATGGAATATGAAATTAAACACACAACGTATTGAAAATTATATAAGTTTTGCATTATAGAAAGCGATATTTTGTATATATAAATATAAAATGGTAAATAATTTCTATAAAATAAAATAATATAGATTTTATCCTCTTTTAGTTACAGAAAATAATTATATATCATTAATGCAATGTGTTGAAAGAAAACAATTTTAGAGGAGAAAGCTCTTCGGTCGTTTAAATCATCGTAAAGTCAGAATGAACATTATTGATAAATAAATAATTTCTGGGCTTGTTAATTCTACTAAACATAAACCGTATTACGCACATTAGATTTAAAGGAGAAAGTAGCAAAGTGCTATACTAATGATGTTAATTTGAATATATATACTTTATTTCTTTCTTTTTGTTTTTATCTATTCTATGAACAATAAGATTTAATAGATCTCGAATTCGAATTGATTAAAACCAATTTTTAACCAATTTAACTGTTTTGAATAATCTATATTTTTATTCAATATTCATATATATATATATATATATATGCAATAGTTACTTTTAAAAATATATAAAATTTATATATTTGTATTAACTTTTATATTAAGTACTAATTTTTATGTTTATTTTAGAATCCAAAGATATTCTATGAATTATATTAACATCATATATATTAAAAACAACTTCTTCCACTTTCTCTCTGAAGCTTTCAAATAGAAAAAAAAAAAAAAAAGAAAAAATATTTTACATTTACATGAAATTCACAGCATATCCTTATTCCCGAAATACAATTTTTTTATCCAACTCAATTTCCATTTTTCAATATTTTCTAAACAACGAGCAACTTTCGTATCAAAAAATTTCAAATTCAGTAATTAACACGAATTTCGTGTCTAGTTTCCGCATTTCTTTCTTCAAAAAAAAAAAAAAAAAAAAAAAATAAAAAAACAGAAGAAAAGAAAGAAAAAAACGAATAAATTAAGAAATCGCGCTTTACGCGTCAGCAACATGCACATTTGCATGTTTAAACTTGCTCACCAGTCGCAGGTATTAGTTGCATGTCTGTTTCTTCCCGTTACAATACGCAGAAATATTTTTGCATGCATGCCGCAATCCGCGGAACACCTCGAGATTTCATAAGCGTTTCCTCGTTAACAAACGCCATACGGATACACAGAGGGAGAAAATGAGAAAAAGAAAAAAAAAAAAAGAAATACACGTTTCCCACGATATTTCATCCCAAGCTTCTGGCATCGATCCATCAGAAAAAAGGTTGGAAACAAATTTTCTTCCATAACGATGCTTTCGCATATACTATACGCATTTTTCTACGCATCGCGAAAGTTCCTGCACGTCGAAAACCCACGTCGTGGAAGCGTGACTCTCGTGATCGTTCACGGGATCACGTTTATCCACATTTAATGGGAAATCGATAGCATTGAATAAGTTGCGCGTATCTGTGTTTGAATATATCTATGTATGTCGTGAGAGCCGAGAATGTTTCAAACATGATCGATGATCGGTGAAATCATAATACATAATCATTTTGTTACAGACATTATATATTATGATATCCCATCCTTTTATAAGTTATTATATTTTCGTACGTAAGTTACTGAACACTTAATATTATTTCAAGATATGGATAAATGAACATTAATAATCGTAATATGATATTGACATTATTATTACATTGTATAGAAATATTATGTTCTCTTTCTATCATAAAAATAATAATAGAATTTTCTTGGTTATTCCTGATTGATAATTAACAAGAAAATTATTCGATAGACTTTTTTTAATTACACGAACAATATTCATACAAATAAAAAAAAAAGCTGATTTATATTTCAAATTTAAGATTTTATTATTAGAAATTATTATTAAAATATAAAATTGAATCATGTTGAATCTATACCTATGATTTTTTAGATATAAATTAAAAGTTTAAATTAATAATTAAAATCCGTCTATAAATATCACAACAATTTTTCGCTTACTCATTCATCTTAAGAAACTAAATTACAATATAAATCAAAACTTTCAACTTTATTCAAAATGACATTGGCCATTGCGAGAAGAATTCGTCTAGGGACTTCAAGGCTTGGCCTCTGCGCGGGACAAATTGCGCCATGACACAGCCATGCGCGCGAGATATAAATCGTCGTAAACGCGCCCATTGCCCCGTACTCACCACTTTAGTTCCGTACCATTACACGTCCAAGGAACAAAGAGAAAAGTCGATGGAAATGTTTTTTCTTCCCGATGCTAACGGTGAAACCTCTTCTCTAACCACAATTTGCCATGAGCACGAGTCGAACGTGTATATATATAAGTTTATGCGTTTTACATTCATGCGAACGAAGTTACGATGATTACATCGGATGAATAGTTAACGAAAGAAAATTTATCATTTACTTCATGATTTTTGTTACCATTTTCGTGTTATCATTGGATCATTTATTGGAATTTTAAGACTTTTTTATGAAGAAATCAAAAAGAAATATATGTTAAAATATATCTAAAAATTATTTAGAGGAAAATTTTTAAAAAATATATAGCAGCTCAATATTTAATTATATAAATATATTATATAATATATTATAAATATACCATATAATATTTAATTATTTAAATTAATAATATCATAATTAATAATCTATTTATTGATAAAACTTCTTTTTTATAATAAATATTAAATTAAATGATAAATTTTATAATGAACTTTATATTAGTTTATAAAATCTTTAATATTACAAAAGGAAAATAAATAAAAAAAAAAAAGAAAATAAATAAAATATAAAACAAGATGCAAAAAGATACGAAGTAGAAAACATGAAATTATTGCAAACGGTCGAACAATAGGAAAATAAATATTAATATCGTAATTGTATAGTCGTGTTCTCCAGAGGTTACGATAATGGAGCTGGGAACTTAGCCTTTATATTTAAGGTGCTCCATCCATTTCCTCCATTAACATAAACTCGCCGCTGATCCTTAGAAGACTGCGAATATGATAAGTAATGTTTTTTTATCATCGATGCATTCGAAAAAATAATCGTCTGCTTTCAAATAAGCAATTTCATCCATCATACATAATACAAAAGAATACATATAACAAAATGTTGTTTTTGAATTTGTTTAAAAAATATATCTAGCATTAAATTTTCAATTTTTTTCATTTTTATGATAACCGACTTTGGTTACAAAGTAAGAATCAGATCTAGTTACTTTTTTTCATTTTAATAATACTAGTTTTCTAAATCTGAAAAAACGTGTTTAAACTAAATAAAACATTTTTATATTGGAAATAATACAAAACATGAAATAAAATAAAACTGAATTTTATTTTCAAACTTTTACTTTATCATATTATTAAGAAATAAAAAATATTTATTTTAAACTTTATATAAATTAGTATCGATTCTTTTTTAAAAAATAAATTTTACATTTTTTCATAAAAAAAGGAAAAGCTTTGAGAACATTATTGTAAATGGATGAAAAAAATATAAGATTAAAGAAAAAGATTATTTGTCAGATTTACCGACAATTAAAGTTCAAAGTTCATTGACTAACTATAGTGAGAATATGAATACAAAGAGAGGTTGATATCGTGACAATACAATGCCAAGGGTGACTGGCTATGAAACGAAACGCGCCAAGTGAAACCGCAATAGAGGTCAGAAAAAAAAAATCTTAGGACCAAATACACACAAGGCTTACGAGCTTGGTAACGATCACTTCATGTCATGATTTATGTAGCAACATGGCTGACATCACCCAGCAATTCTGCATTCTAAAATAAACAACAAATACTACACTGACGTTGTCCATGGTATAAATATAATAAATATTTCGATTAAAACATGTGAACAAGATGAAAAATCATAAAAAAAAATAATCCAGATTAGATTCCTAAACAATAAAAAGAAAGAAATATTTTATGAAAAATAATACAAAATAAATGAAACAAAATTTTTAAATTTACATTAACATGTAATATAATAAAATAAAATAGAAGACAACTTAGGAAAAAATTAGAATAAATATAAAAATATGTTATAAAATAAGCAAAAATCTAAATTAATATATAAAAATAATGTAAAAAATTAAAGAAAAAAAAATTGTTATATATTCCTCGATAAAAAAATAGAAAGCTGAAAGATAAAAGAAACAAAATATATATAAGAGAAAACAAATAAAATGAAAAAAAGTATTTTATAAAAGTATTTTATAAATCCAAAAAAAAAAAAAAAATTAAAATACATTCTAATTATATGCATTAGCATATAAAACAGAAATTTTAGATACTTCAAAAAAGTTAAAAATTACGAAAAAATTTTTTAAAATAAAAAATTAAGATACATACGAAATATTGTACGCATTTCATCCTGACACCTAAATGCTATTTAAAGAATAATCTCAACATTCTTGCAACTATTTCACCATTTATACAAGTAAAAGTGTATAAAAACGTACACAACAACCTTCGATTCGAGGCGTTAGAATATCTCGAAGCACTTCAGCACGGTAATTCACGCGGTAAAGCCTCATGTAGGAAGTTACGCAACCAGCCTCTCTCAAGCGTGTCTCGATAAATTACATAATAAATGTCTCATAACTAAATTATGTAAAAGCGGTACAACGACGCCAAGTGTAAATACCCAACTTTGCGATAAAAAACATTTTCACGTATTCCGATCGTAACCGAACGGAAATGAAGTTGAAACGAAACGAAAACTATCTATCGAATATGGACACCTTTTGCGCCCTCTTCTTGTAAATATTCAAACAAACGACGAACGGGACCAATCAGAATTCGAAACGTGGTTTGAATGTAGGCCATCGAGTACGAATCGACTTTTTTCTCGATTGGTAAACAAGCAAATTCATACAATTCCGCTTCTAGTTTTTGATCGTTCACGAGTATTCAAACTGATAACGGAAACAGTGAATAATAATAAAAAAGAAAAAAAAAAATAGATGAAAAGAAGAAAGGAAAACGGCGGACAAATGGTGATGTTTGTTGAAAAATAAAAGGGAGAAACGAGTCGAATTCGACTATTGTGACGTAACTAACGGAATGAAGCATTGGAGGTTAGGTACAACGAACGAAAGTTGAAATAAGAGAAAGATGAAGACAGAGGATTGAATAAAAGGAAGAGAGATAGATAGTGAAGGCTAATGAATAAAACGAATTATCTGTCGAGAGCAGTGTCCCGTTGAAGGAACAAATTGCCACGAATGTGCACGAGAACTAACTCCTCGATGACAAATTACGACAATGCTGGTAAAAAACTGCTAAAATTCGATGAAAAGAAGAAGAGAATTGGAGGATTGAATTCAAATGGCAACAAAGGAGAAGGTTGGATAGGCATATCCGTATTGTTTTTCTTTGTGCTTTTTTTTTTTGCGGATGACAAAACCAATTCGAATCGTATTTCGATATTGAATTAAACTACTTTCTTCTCTTCTCGCACAAAAGAATAGTCGAGATTCGAACGAAGAATCCGCTTGAGATGCATAAGTATTGTTTCTTGTACTTGTTCTCGGAAGCGGAATTAATCGATTGATTTAAATCGCTCTTTCGATCGATCGTTAATAAATCGATGAATTTGTAAGCAGATTTTTTGTTATCGAGAAAAGTATTTTCTTCTGAAATGTCATTATCAATTGAGAGTTTGATATTGAAAGATTATTCGATGGACTATCAAAGTATTGAATCAGCGGTATGTAGCTTAAATTTCGTTTATTTAAAACCATGTTATTTAATTTTATTTGTTCTTAAAAAATTAATTTAAAATATTTTTTACAAATTAGAGAAAATGTAGAAATAAATCAAAGAAAATAATATAAAATAATAATATAAAATAAATAAAACATATAAATTGAATTTTCAACTATAATATTCAATACATCAGAATACAAAATAAATAAAATTTCTATTTCCTGGTTTCTTTTTTATTTCAATCATCAGTTAAACTTGTTTTTAGAATTTACTTATAGAATAAAGCTAGGAAATGTAAAACTTTATGCAAAAGAAAACTATACGGGACAATTGTCTAGATAGACGCTAATGTTTTTTCCGTGTGCAGCCGCTTCTCGCTGTCGACGTGAGAAGCGAAGTGCCTTCGACTTCAGGTTCACTGCCATGAGCATTATTACGCAAGAAGAGGCTATGTTCGTTCCTCCTGTTATGTCTTAACTGCACTTAATTAATCGCCTAATTGCCGACCTGCCAATTAAACCTCTGGTGTCGGCACGAGTTACACTCGTCGGATCAATTTTCTTTGACTTATGCATATTTTATAGGGTAGGTTATTCCTAAATATTTGTTTGATGAAGGACATGTTTTTAGAAACAAAATGTTGTGTTTTTTAAAATCAAATATGCATTTTGCAAACAGAGTAATAATAATTATTTTTTTTATTTATATTTCACATTATAAAATTCAGTTTTTATAAAATAAATATTTTTTCCAACAAAGAATTCATATAATATTCATTTTAAAAATTATTATATAAAAATTATTTTATATAATAAAGTTATATATAATATTTTATATAATAATAATTTTTTTTTAATATTTCGTATTGAAAAATCAGAGATAAATATTCCAATATAACAATGTATAATTTTACTGCATGAAATAATCAAAATTGAAGTATATTTATATTTTTAATAAATAAAACTTTTTCTATCACATTTTAAAGTTAAAATTCTAAAATTTTTAATATTTTTCTATATCTTATATCTATATTTATCAAATAGATTTATCTTTATTTCAAACAAATGAATTTATTTCAAAGCGACAAAAAACTCATTAACCAGTAAATATCAATTTCAATTTATAAGCATGAAATTAACTATGTAAACCTACTTACGACAGGAAAAACACCACTTTCGATCAATTGGAAGTGAAATCTCTGTGAGCTAATGGCCAGCAATGAGCAGCGACAATTTTAAACTCGTTAAACGTGAAATGAGAAAAATCCAAATGTCTGGTTTTTAATGCAAATTATAGGAGTAACATTTAACGATGTAAAACAAGAAAAAAATATAGAATGACGGTAATTAAACGACATATAAACTCAACGTATTAAAATCCTTTTATGGTGCAACACATTGGCGAAAATCATGCACACGTAGACGTCAGCAGCGTTTAATCTGAAAGATACCGGAAACTGAAAGTACCGGGTAAATCCCACGTTCGATTCAATGGAGACTTTAACACGACCTTAAGCTATATACGTAAGTACAACGACCTCTTGTTGCTAATTATTCTCATTAACGGAAAAGCTGGATTCCGTGGTTGCTGGAATGCGAAGGAGAATACCTTTTATGTACACCATTAGATGATATACACAATTGTAATAGTTTTTTTTTTTTTTTTTAAAAACAATCTAATACACTAGTCTAGTGAGATAAAATTTTTGTTCCTTTGTAATATTAAAAAATTTATTATAAATGTTAAATTTTTTCCTTTTTTAAACATACAATTTATTTTTTTTTGAATTTATGAATATACTTTAAAATTATATTTTATGTAAATTTTTTATCTCTTTATATTTACTTGGAGAAGATTAAGATAGATATGAGATAGATATGAAGAATGTTAAGTTGCAATATTAGAGAAAATACATTTTTAATGTTAATATAAAATAGTATTAAAATTAATTACTAAAATTAATTATTAAGATCAAAATCTATCTTACTATAATGCTAATTTAAAAACTTATAAATATACAGAATATTGCTATTTATTTTCTTGGTTTCTGATAATAAAATTTTGATTAAAGATTCGAAGAATTCAAGAATTGAATAATTCAAAAATTTAAAGATTCAATGATACATAAAATTTCGCACTGTAAGATGAAAAAATTAAATATCCAAACAAAAGAAAAAGATGTATAATATTTTTTGATTCACTTCACAAAATATTTTTAATTAAATAATCGACCCAATCATGGATTTGCAGTTCGTATTTCTATCGCTGAATGAATCTGATATTATAGCATGGCAATTAATTGGAGTCGTTGAAGGAGCTCAGGTTATTGCGAGAAGCTGGAACTCCCCCAGGAAAGTATAGCTTCTAGTTAGGTTTAATCTGAAATTCTGGAAAGCACAGTATATTCGCACCGCGTAACGAACCCGCATTAATTAAGTTCCGCTTCCGTCCGCGAACGGAAGTAACGAAGAAAGTTCTGGGGGCCAGTTAGTCCTCCCTCTGCAATGCGAATTTCACTACCAAATTTTCGTCTTATACATTAGGTTCTGGTACAATCTTGTATTAAAAGAACGTATAGATTATTTTAATGTAGATAATCATAAATGGTACTTAATATCATATATCATTCATAATGTTTCAAGTTATAAAATTTGTTTATTTAAATTACAGATAAAATCCAAAAATTCAAAAGTAAAAGGATACAAGAATTCCAAAGATTCAGAGATTTAAGGATTTAAAGATTAACAGATCCCAATATTCAAAGATTCAAATATTTCAAGATTAAAAAATTGAAAAATTCAAGGATTCGTAGATGCAAAAATTCAGACATTCAAAGAATGATCATCGAATTTATTAAAGAATTCTATTAAAGGAAAAAAAAAAATGAGAAGGAAGAATTGGTCATAACTAAATCTCTTGGTAAATCGAACAACTTTCGAACACTATCTCAACATTCGTTCATAAACTTTAAACACTATATACGATGAATATTTTTCAGGTTCAAATCGTCGAACAGTCGATAGTTCAATATTACCATTTCATCAAAACCTCCAACCCGATATTCCCCGTATTCGTCCAGTCTTCGTGATGTTTGCGTGGAATCACGATTTATAGCCATGGATGTAACGTTATTTAACTGAAAAATGTTATTTACATTCCTACAAAGTAGACACATACGTACGTTGTTGCTGTTTGTTATCAACGTGCGTCGAAATCTAATATTTGGCCAACGCGTGTATCGACGCGTTGGATCGACGTTTCTACGATTATTCCACGTAAAAGTCAGCCAATCTCCAAACAAGTTTTCCATTCTTCCGATCGATATCGAAATTTTGAATTTGTATCTGATAAAAGTTCGAAAAAAATTCTTCGATCGAGGAAATAATTGTGGAAATTATTAAATTTTACGAAATTCAAATTAATCTTATATCTATCTATTTTTACAGATATAGATATAACTTCTTTTGAAATAAATTCGAGACATTGATTTTAAAAAAATATATTAATAATTTATAAATAGTTAAACAAATTTTTAATCAAGAGCTATGATATCAAGAGTAATAAATTAAATGTGGCTTAATAATTTAATCAATCTTCTGCCATTTTCTAATATCAATACACGAAGCCTATAATGAAAATATACGAAGGCTTTCAGTCAAAATGTATCAAAGTATAATTTTTAATGAAGCTAAAATCGAGTTATTAATTTTAAAAAATTCTAAAAGATCAAAAGTTATTTCCATATGAAAATCACAAAAGATAACAATTTATTTTAATTCTTGTAAGTATATCTGCAAATATAGAAAAACTCTTACATCATTAAAGGATAAAAACTGTAATCTTATTATAATTTATAGTCACCTATAACGTAAGAATACCTGTGAATAAATTACAGTGTAAATCAACGCAATTTAACACAACTTTCATTGCAACTTTCTTCGACTTACATCACTCTTGTTTTCAACAGCTTACGTAAATCTTGTAACTATCCAAGACAAGAAATACGTATTGTATTGCTAATATTTTTAACGTCATAAAATACGATGACGGATATTATTCCCTTATTTTTTTTTTTTCCAATATAGGGAAGCAGTATATATTTTTTTTATAGTAATGGATCATGATTTAAGTGACACAGGAGGACGAAACGTAATTTAATAGGGGTGGCTAGTGTGGAATTCATGACCTGGAATTTCAAAGGAAAACGTATAAGGTTTATCTTAGCAATTTTTCATGGATAATGTCCGTGTTAAAAGTTAGAACGAATTGAAGTGTCATGAAGTAACGATACGAATATTAATGAATATATCACGATATACCATGAAAATTGAATTTTTTTCGTTTATCGTCGTATTGCGTGGATGATATATAAACAACGAGGATGAATATCCGAAAGAACACGTGTTTTATATGGTATTAAAAAAATTTATATATTATAAATATTAATAAAATAATAAAAATGACGAAGTAAAAATAATTTATAAAATTTTTATAATTTTCAGTAAAAAATGAAAAATTCACTGTCAAAATTGATTGTAACTTATGAAAATATTAAAATATTGCGTAATTGATAAAATTTGGTAGCGAGATTTGATTAAACGTTTTACGTAATAAAATGGAAAAAACTTCACATGTTTATAAATAATAATATCGAGCTTTTTAATTATTTTTTGTTACTCTATATTACACAATTGATGTTGCATAATATATATTGGTCCCAATTTATTTTTGTAGGATTATGTACTGATTAATATCATTATTCAAGGAAGGGATTATTATGTTATTTAAATATTAAAATAAAATTATATTTTATTTTAATATTACATTTTATTTACTAATATTCAATAAATTATACTAATAAATATTTCGATATTTTTCGTTGATGGTTATTGTAATATCTATTTATCTTTTGCAAAATATATTAGCTTCCATTCATTCATTTTAAATCTTAACTTACAATTCTTTTAAAATTATAATTATTTAAGATTATTTGTATATCGTTTAAAATTTAAAAAAATATAATTCTTCCATTCCATTTTTAATTTAAAAAAAATATCCAAATCGATATTTATAAATAAAAAAATTATATTTTCTTTATCGTTTAGATATCGAATTTTTTAGATTTCGAACATTCTTAAATCTTATATTCATTATATTTCTTTAAAAATCCTCTCTTGATCTTGACAATTAAATCTCCATTTATCCCCTAATTCGATCTCGATTTAAACACAAAGTGTTTCGAGCATCCCTCCCTCCTCGTACCAATACTCCCATACAAAACTCACGCGGTATAAATCCTCCGGTAAAACCTCCACTAATCTGGCACAAAGAAACATTCCCGCACGCTCCATCCAGCCGAACTACAAAAAGTAAAAGAAAGAAAAAAAAAGAAAGAAAGAAAGCAAGAAGAAAAGAGGGGAAAAAGAGGCGGACAATTACACGAAACGGCTAGTGGTAATAAGAGAAGCCATTAAGGCACCCACCCCTGCGAATCGCAGATTCCTCGAGCCGGCTCGCGGAACTATTCCACCGAGAATTTATTCTTAGCAGCCGCCTGTTAGTCCGCGTTTTCCACGATTCCCTCGAAATTCTTCGAGCCTTCGACCTCGTCGAAAACCTTCTCCACGGAAAAATTTTTATTCCCTACCTCGCCTTATTCGCGTTCCTCTCCTCGATCACGTCCTCCATTCTCTCTCTCTCTCTCTCTCTCTCTCTCTCTCCGCTCTGCGTACACATTCGAGACCCTGGTCTCGTACCAAGTCAATTACTGGTTACTCGGTTACTCGCCGATGCGTTGTTGCGCCGAAGCGTGGAGATGCCACTCGCGCGGGCCCGCGCGCGGACGTTACGTATACGCGGGGCGATACGCCGCGTATCGTAATTCGCAATTTGCCCGAGCATTCACCTTCGAATTCCCGTTACTCACGTTCCGTATCGTCGTCCTACACTCGACACCCGGGGCACCGCTCCCGGCGGTAGCCGTGTACCACCGCGAGCGGCGAAATGGCTCGCGTGATCGATGCAGTTTTTCCTTTATTTCACGTGATAAGTATCGTGCGCGAGATGGAGATCCTCGACGGCGAGGAGCGAAGCGGTAAGGAGTACGGGGGGCAAGGGGTGAATTTGGATAAGTGGATGGATGGATGGAAAATCTGCGGCCCAAATCGGATAGCGGAGGTAGGATAGTGGGGTGTGGAGTGAGAGTGGAGAGAAATTGAGATTTGATTGAATTTTTTTCTCGTTTTTTTTTTTTTTTGTTGAATATGTAGAAAGGGGATAGCGAGAGGGAGGATTAAAATAAATATGTGAATGAGTTTCACAATGCGTCAAGAAGTGAAAGAGGATTTATTGTAGAATTTGATAATTATGAAGATATAGGTATTTCTATTATATGTGGATGGAACTTCCATATTCGTTTATGTATTTCGGTAAAAAAAATACTTCGATGTTTGTTCAAAAATCTATTATTAGTCGTTAAACATTTCTTACTACTGATGATTTATTTTTGATAACAATTTTTCAATAAAAATTAAATTTCTGTTTAAAAGGTACTTATTTTATCCGATTCTCAGACTGAGAATCGATTATTTCGTTTTTCGTTAATTTTTTTGTCAATTCTTATTTATAAAATTGATCTTGACTGATCTAATTATATAAAACACGTAACAATTAATTTATTACAATCTTTCAAAAGTATTCAAATAATTCTTTCTTAATTCTGACAAAAAAATACTTCAAAAAATCTCTCCATCATTTTCAATTTTCTTTACATACAGTCCATCGAAATTAAATTTAACTTAAATTAAATTTAGAAACAAATAAAAATATCGAAAAGTCGAAAGTTATCTATAGAAAAAAAAAAAAATAAAGCTGAAAATTCGGCCGATACCTTAAATCATCTTTAAACGGCAGATATTAAACGTATGCGGTTCCTGATCCTCCCAGGCTATCCTTTTTCGTGTCGCACGATTGTTGCTACTCCCAAGCTGGCAATTAATTCTTACCGACGCCGGCGCTTTGTAATCACCGCTTAATGGACAAGCCGCTATTTATCGCCGCCCGGTTTATAATTAAACACCATCCACGAGCCGATCGGTTGCCTAATGCGAGTAGACGCGGGATGTATTTATTGCCAGCACACGATTCTCTCGCTGTTACTCTGAAGCGAAATTTTCGCTATGTCACCAAGGGCCTCCTATTTACGAAGTTTTGCGACCGTAATTTTGCGTATCGTAATTTTAATCTTGAAAAATTAATCAATTTTCCTAGTTTCTCTTGGAACAATTTCGATGATGTGTGTCTTTGGGAAGAAATAATAAAATAAATGTAAGATTCTATGTTGAAATGATTGAATTGATGCAAAAGTTTAAAATTTGTTTTAAAAGTTTTTAAAGTTTTGACGTGTAAATTTAACGATAAGTTTGGAATGTTGTAACGTTATGAGAAAATTCGTTATATGGTTCACATGACAGAATGTGAATTTTATACATAAGGATCTTTTTGTGTTATATCTATAGAGTATATCGAATGCATTGTATTAAGCGTTTGATTAATTATACGCTTATACTACTGAAATCGACTCTTGATCTTCTTGTTAGAATTATGTTTCTTTTTTTTTTTTAGAAATAGTTTTTATATATTAAATTAAGGACAATTAAATAACTAATTGTGAATTTGGAATTAATATTTCTGTATATGTATATAGGTTATGTTATCTGTTTTATTTTAAACTATTAATTTTTATGAATGAAGTTTACATTATGGTGTAATGGTCTTCTTTCCAGAAATAAAAATTATTGATATTTTTTATAAGAATAATAACGAAAATATAATTATTTATGATCAATTATTCATATTACTAATGATTAAAATCTATCTTTAGTGTTCTTTAATGTATTATGAAGCTATAAATATACATATTCTCTTCGATCGAATTTCAAGAGTTCAAAATATTGTTAAATCTTAATTACTTACGAACTTTATGGGATAAAATTAGTTAAATAAAATTTAAATGAATATGGAAATAGATAAGTAAATTTATATTACAAGAATAACTTGTTGTTGGATTGGAATATCTAGATTAGTCAACCTAGTGACCACCTTTTTCTTCCTAGGAGATTATTCGATACATTGAACTTTGATTAATTCGTAAAATTAAAATGTTACCCAGAAATCTTTGTTGTACAAGTTGTATAAATTTTGTGTTCAGAATTGTGCATATTGAAAGATATTATAATGAAACAAACGATAACATTTTGCCATTCTAAGATAAGATATAAAATTTCCAAGTGATTGGTGAAATATTTTTTTAGAATTTCGTAACATTTCGAAAGCATAAAACAAAATGGAGAAAAATACACGAGCAAAGAACATGAAACTTTCCTTGGGAATTGCAACGACATGTACAAGATTGTATAAATTATCGATGTACTTTAACCAACGAGTTGTTCTCAACACACAGTTTATATAATCCTTAGCATTACACGATGAAGAATAAATTTCTCCGTAATCTAATCTCGTTTTTTTTCTTTTTTTTTTTTTTTTTTTTACACATTTCGACTTTAAATATCGTATACATCGCTTGATATAAATAGATATGCCCGGTTAGAACATCGTGTTAAGTATCCTCTCACCAAAGAAAGACAAAAACGGGTAGGAAATCACATGGCATTAAGAAAAGCCATTAAGTAGGTTCAGAGAGAAAACCATTTCTCTTTTGACCCCATCGATCTATTCGAACACGCAATCTTAAACATAACCATGTATTTATTTAACTTTCAACGATATAACGGCTTTCATAGTCACAAAATATCTCACTATTTTTCTAGTAAACGCCGTTAAATGTTGAATTTCATGTATTGCAAAAAATCTAATTAGAAAGAAAGAGGAAAAAAAAAAGAAAAGAGGAAAAAATATATTTTTTTTCTTTATATTCGTTATAATTTATTCACCCATACTTTTGACAGAGTGTTCGAGTGAGCTTCCGTTTGCGCAATCCGAATCTTGCAGTAACATTTAACTCCGAACGAAGCGAACTTATTATTTATGCAGAGAACTCGATATTACGTTAAGGTTCGAGCTCTCGCTTTTAATGGCGCTATTGTTTGATTCCTTCCAGATACGTGCCTCCCTTTTTTTTCTCTTCTCTCGACTCGTGATGAACGTGTTCACTTATCTCTTCCTTCGGCATTATGTAACACCGAAAGGAAAGAATAGCGGGCATCCGAGAAAAACCGAGAAAGCGAGAGAGAAGAGTGTTTCGATTCGCCAAACGATGAACCATTTCAGGTTGGTCGAGGAGGATCGATTCTCAGCATAACGAGAGAGCAACTTTCTACTCACGGTATTCGTATAAAGTTCAGCTCCACGTTTGTAATTTGCGGTTTGCTGCGCGCGCAGCAATCAGATCGGTAACGTGGACCGCTAAACGATCTTACCCGAGAAGAGCATCGGCTATTCTCGTCCTTTCGTTTGCGTGAAAACTGAAATGGCGGAACGGCTTTCTAATGTATCACGTGGAAAGAAAGAAATTAGAAGATTATAGTGAATTGCGTTTTCTCGTGTTTTTGTTCTCGAAACAAGAATGGAAATTAAAAATTGTATTCAATAAAGAACATACGTGGGACGTAACGAGCAATTTAGAACGATAAGAATAATTTTTTTGAGAGAAGGTTATGTTTGAGATAAGATTAATAAGATAATAAGTGATGAATGTAAATAAATGTAAATGAAATCAAGCTCGAATTGTTAAATTGGAAAATATATAGATCTATGTGTTGAATAATACGATATTTTATCCATGGATAAATAAAGGTAAAAATAAACTCTTCATAGTAGACGTACATATGTTTGTTTGTTCATTGAAACAAAATCTTGATTGATTGATTGAATCCACTTTTTTAAACGTATATTTATCTATTATATTTATTAGTGACTTCTATTATTTGAACTATTTATGTATAGATTCAAATCAATAAATCTTTATTGTATAAATGGATTTAATAAGAATTTATTTAATCGAGCACCGATTAAAATTTCATTTCAGCAAAGTTTCAAAGTACTTCAATTTCAATCTCTTTGATCAATTATATACATTTGCATCGATTTATCAAAATTTTATTTTAAAAAACTAGGAGAAAAATGATAGAGATAGATGACAAATTTCTGCGAGGATTCGATGAATGAATACCCGAGAGTGATATTATTCACGTTACCTCGAGCGTGTCTATATAATTTCTCATTTACACAATGGTGCACGAACGATGCATTTGCACCGTGTTGCAGCAATGCAACTTTACTTTAACATATCGATTCACGTACGTCGAAAGTTTCAGAAGGCCACGGCAATACGATTGAACGAGCAAAGCCTCTAAAAGAGACGAGAACTTTTACACGAATTTAAACTTTCATCAAGGTTACGCATATTATTAATTTTTCTAGTAAGGTTTAAATATATTGCTGAAACCGAAGTATGGAGTATGTTTTTATGCATTCATGAGAAATACGAATATACAAAAATGGATATCTTTGAAAGAGTTTATTTTATCGATTCGCAACGAATGTATGATTATTCTCAATGCCATGGTATACCTGCACGTGCATAAACTAACAGCCATGAATAAAATAACTTTCATGATATAATTAAATGTAGATAGATGATATAACAAACACGAACTTTTCCCCTCTCTACTCTCTTATACAATACGATTAGCAACGAATTTTGATACGCATATTTCTCCAGGTATCGCATGACTCCATGCTTCTCACTGCATTTCGTATCAAAATAAAAATAAATTTAATTACATTTAAAGAGAGATGTTATTTTACAACATCAAACAACATTTCAAACTTTTGAACCTCGCAATCAATTACCACGTAACGAGCCTGTCTCATCAATATCACTTACCACAAAATAAATTTTTCTGTATATTATTATATTATAATAAATTTAATTACACTTGCTGTCCAATGGGTCAATCCAAATTTGTTCGTTTTTCGATAGAAGGAAGAGGATCCCGTCGTTTTGATGAACAACGAACCGATCAAAGGTCGATCTTCGATCGGTGTTAATGAAATTAGCGAGCGATGGCCGAGGGATAAGGCGCTGTGCAGAGCGGAAAACGCGCGGAAGAGTCGGCCCAGCCTGATACCTGATATCGGTATTAACTCGACCATAAAGCATTCCGCGGGCCCCGTCCACAAAGTGATTGCGATTGCGCCTCGGGCATTACAACGCGCAGATTTATGAACAGGGGTTGCCTACGAACGTAAGTCAAATCCCCTCGGGACCCGTTCAACAGAAAATCGTTTGCACATGTGTTGCTCGAGGCACGCATCCCCGAGAAACAGTGCACGTTGTATGCACACAGTGTCTGTCTTATTTTAGATTATACGTATAATATAGAATATTTTTTAATGCAATTTGAAATTTACTATTTTCAATTTTTCTTCCTAAGTTCTATTGTACGCTCTTATATCACTTGACAAATTTCATTTCTTTTTAGACGAGGATAAGATGGTATGTATATGTGTGTGTGTGACTGTTATGACTGGTTTATTTATTGATTCGCAGAAATATATTATGTTGCCTCGCGTTTAAATTATGTTTCATTTATACTTAAATTAGTAAATTGAGAATATTATATTTCAGAAAAATTGGGAAGGAGGTAAAATAAGGGTTTCACTTGTAAAAGAACAAAGGGAGTAATGATATATGTATATGTATAAGGGATGTATGTAAACGATGAAGAATGGTAATGAAGCGGATCTAAAGAGATTTCAAGATTCTGCCGAGAGGATTCCGATCCAAATTGCCAGAATCCTTCGAATCTGGAGAGTGTTGGAGACGTTACAAAATGCGTTCCGCAATGCAGACACCGCGGAACCTTTGTACAGCTCGATGCCAGCTGTGCGGAGTGCCAAGTAAAAACTGAATATTTGTCGCCTTAATATGTCCAATAAATATGCTTCAAATTGTGAGAAAAGACGCAGCAAATGAAAAGCAAGGGGAATATTCGATTTATCATATTCAAAGTAATTTTAGATAAAATGAACGGATATTTTTAATTTTATCAAAAATTATCGTTAAAATATTTACAATATCTCATTTATGCTACTGAAATTTACGAAATCTTTGATCAGTTGCCAAAACTAGAGCTAAAAGTAAAAGCTAAAAAATCACTATACGTTTTCAAAAATCAAAATTTATTCAATCAATAAATACAGAAAATTAATATATTTCCGAAAAATCATAGAAAAAAATAAATATATAATATGTAATTACAACAAATAGAATATTTAAATCATCAAAATACTTAATATCACGTTTATCTTGCTAAAATAAAAACTCTATTTAATAGCAAAAAAAAAAAAAAATCACTGTACGAAAAACCAATATTTTCTTTCTATTTCAAAATGACAATAACAGCCAAGAACAGATTCGAACCAACATGAAAATATACAAAACTGCAAGGGAAAACTTACTTAACGAAATTTTCGACCAATCGCGAAATAAACTGGAAAAAAATCGCAACACAGATTCGAAAAAAAATCAGGGAAAAGCAGATTTTCTTCTATTTCACCGCGAATAACAGGAATATCTGGACAATTGGTAACCCCCGCGGGGTTAAGCCGCGGCTCGCAATAACCGATCGACGCACAAACACAATCCCACCTCTCTCAATCGCCCGTTTCATTTGCAAATATACATACTTCCGCATGCTGGTCGGTAATGGCCGTTCGAAATTGCTCGATCTCAATAAAATGGCCACGAAACTTGGCGAACACTGTACATAGACGGCGGTGCGCCAATACCAGGGCAGAAAGGGACACGTGTGCATCGATGCAGGTGAGCGCACACGCGCACGCGAATATCTCGTTGCAATTTTACAGGAACCCGACCATCCTAGGGAATTTATATTTCTCGTTATCTTTCCCGCGTGCATGCGCATGTGTGCCGCGCATACATCGCAGCGTGCTACTCCGTCGGGACAATTTTCGCGTGGAAAAGTTAACGTTTGTGGCACGCCAGCCGCGGAAACGAGGAATATTTCATTCTGGAAGATCGTTTGCTTCGTTTCTGGTGTCTTGACTACCTCTGCTGTGGAAGAGGAATAGGAACGTTACGTCTCTTGGTCGAACGAAATTGGACACGTAAGTTTTCGAGATGTGCACGTTTAGGTTAGGTAGTCGTGTTAAATAATAATCTGCTCGTGTTTACCGCACAATGATTGATATTGTAGATGCTTAACGTTTTCGAAATTTCTAGAATCGTTTTTCTTTTATCATTTATCGAGAATTTTCTCTTCGATTGAGCACGTTATAAGCATAAAATTTCAAAAACGTTATTTTTCGTAACGGTTTGAAGTTCTTTCGAAAACTCGTATCTATTCATCGTACGCGATCAACGTTCTAAATGATTTCAACTTCTGCTGCGGAGCTTTTTTTTTTGTTATAAATCGAAATTGCTTCTTCAAACTTTTTTATCCGGAAAATAACATCGTCGATAGACCAATTCGTTCCTGTATTAGATAAAGGAGTAATCTTTATATTCGAATCTCGAGATCAAATTAATCAAAAGTAGGAAAACTTGTAGGTGAAAAAAAAAAAAACATGGTTTATCGCGAAATCTTGTAAAGTTTCGTATTTGTACAGGATTACGTGACAGAAGTCGAAAACGTACATTTGAAAATCAGATTTCTAACTCCGTTTCAGAGAATCCTTCCTTTCAATTCTGGAGGAAACTTCCCCATGATATCTTCATGGAAGATTCACAAAGATCGAATCATCAATTCCAGGAATGGAATTACCCCAAAAATTTAAGTCGAAGATCAAGGATATCGAGTTCCATTAACTGAAAAGACCAAGCGAGGATTCGTCCAAGATATTAATTAAAAAATATTTAAATCTTATCATTCGTGCACGTATTTGGAATATCCAATTAAAATGCGATCTCTTATCTATATTAAAGAAAAATGGTACGTACAAATACTTCCCAAATGATAATAGAAATAATACAATTTTTCTTTTTATTTCCAGTTAAATTATTCGTATATATAATTTTTATTTATTTAGAAATTTAGAAAACTATATTGTGTTAAATATAAAAAAAAGAATGGCAAAGTTAAATAGTCAAATTAATCTTACACGTGATGGCTTTTCTGAGATTCTTTCCGATCCAATGTTAATCTCCGGATTTTAAGCGTAACACAACGCCCCTTTTGGTTGCATGCACGACGAATCTCGTCATCGATCGGTCGTACATATTAACATTCGATCTCCTCTCGATCCGGTCTCTCCCATCTCCCTCTGCTCTTCCTTATCCTCGCTTTTTTCTCTTTCCCCGCGGTGCATTGATCCCAGAGATCGGAGTGTAATTAACTCGTTATATCTATCCTTTGCAACCCAACATTACGTAACGCTTCTATCTTTCCTTCCCTCTTCCTCCTTTCGCCCCCTCCCATTTTAATTTCTCTTCTTCCATTTTTTTTTTTTTTGGATTCATTCCTCCTTTTTCTATCGGATAAGATAGATATACCATATTTTTTTCTTTTTTTCTTCTTCCTTTTTACAACTTGTTGTTCTTTCGATTTCACGCGTTTCAAACGAGGTTTTTACGTTTTAGCGATGGGATCGAGTTGATCGCGAGCGAGATTTGAACATTGACAGAGGAACGTATCGCAGATAAATTTAGATCTGAACTGTTAGTTCAGAAGTGAAAAAGAAGTTTTAAATGGGATATAACATTGATAGAAAATAGGTAAATAGATTGTATTTTGTATTAAAAATATTAAAATTTATCTTCTTGACTATCTTTAAAAGTAATTCTTGCACATTGTAATTGTAAAATAATTATATATGTGTAGAATAACATTATTTTTTTTTAATTTCTTTAAAAACATGTTATATTTTCATAAATATTGTTCGTGGATAGTTAGAAATGGGAAAATTAAAATGAAATTAGAGGAAATTTTAATTATTATTTATAATTCTTTTATATTTGTTATTTAAAAATTTAATCGAATGTCTTTCTGTCTTTTCTTTTATACGATATTCGAACATTATTTATAACAGGTTCTAAGTATCAAAGTATATTAGTACAAGTAGATAATACGAGGACGAGATTACTTATTAATAATATTCAAATTTTATGCACTGAATTTATTTACATTGCATGTACTTTAGATTTATACTGAACTTAATTCTCACACTACTCTTACGGATGAAAGAAAATTTCCTCGCGTTTTTCCTTTTGCTTTTTTCCAGATAATTCGAGGGACGGATGTTCTAAATCGAGGAGTTTTTTTAAGATGAACGACGTTTCTTCCCTTTAACTCAATAACACTTCGTTTGATCCCTTTCGACATGATCTGTTGCTTCATGATTTTCGTTTTGCACTTGATTAACGAAAGAAAGGGAAACACTAATTATCGTTGGACATATCTTCGATCAAAATGTTTCTTCAAAGACATATTTTTTTAGTTTGATACTACAAATCTTGGTGGATTTTTCGTAAGAGAAAGTGAGAAAAACTGGAACTTTGATGATGAGATAGGGAAATGGAAGTTTAATCAAGCATTTGAGATACCTTTGAGATACCTTGGGAATATTAGATATTGGAAATTTAGAATATTCAAATTTTAAAAATTGGATATCTTCGAATATTTGAATATTTTAGATTTAATAAGATTTTTAAGACGAGTTAAATGTAAAAGTGATCTGAACTGAATCTGAACTGAGGATTAACTTGATCAAATAATAATTCAGTAAATTGATCCTGAAAATATTGTTTTTTGAATATAAATATGAACACTAAGTTTGGAAGTGGTACTTGATTTTACGTAATAGTTTTACACCTTTCTCTCTTTCAAATAATCTCATCAAAGATTTAAGAAGGAGCAATTCAATTCGAACAAATTACTCGATCGATTAATGCATTTCAACCAGTCACCCTTTCACCCTCCTAAAAGCTTTCAATCCAATCTTTTTATATTCGTTCCCCTTCAGCTCGCAAGCTCGAAAAGAGAGTTCAGATTCGGTAGAAACATTCGATCCCAAGCAATTTCCTCGAAAGGAAACACGAAACAATCGCATCGATCACGAGAATAAATTAATTCTCTTTTTCAATCAAGAAACGGAAAAATACGAGATCGATTACAAATACCTCTTTTTTTTTTTCTAAAAAAAATTTATAAACTTTTAAAAGATTAAAAGTTTCCCTCTACCTTCCTACATCCTACATCTTTAAAAATTCCAAAAAAAAAAAAAACAAATTCAAAATATCTCGAATCTTTTTCCAAATTCCTATTCCCCTTTCCTCTAAACCGCGTCACCTATGAGAATAAATCATCCTCTCCCATACCAGGCAAACCAGAAAATCCCCATCAAACGTGAAAAGAATCCCCCGTGGAAAAAAGAAGAAGAAAAAGAAGAAAAAGAGGAGGAAAAAAAAAAAAAATATCCCCAGATGAACCGGCGCTGAAGAACACATGTGCATTATTCTCGCGTCTCATCTGACGAGGACGCGATAAATCCCGACCCGGTTCCTCCTCCGCGCATCCTCGTCTCTCCTTCAGGTGTTTCCTGCTCGTATCCCCCGGTTTGTCTATATTTCACCTGGCAGGATTTACGTTTGGTCGCCGCCACCGTCGCCGGTGTTGTCGTTCGATGACCGGTCTCGCGGTTGCTCGCAGCTGCAGCTGCAGTTTCCTGGATCCCCGGCACCCGAACGATCGGCGGCCATTTCTCTCTCTCTCTCTCTCTTTCTTTCTCTTTTTCTTTCCTTCTCCTTCTCCCTTCATCTTCTCTTCATCTCCTCCACTTTTCCCTCCTTTCCTTTCCCTCCTCCTTCCTCTCCTTTCCTTCTTTCTCTCTCTTTTCTCCTCCTCCTCCTCCTTCTCTCTCTTCCTCCTCCATCCCTCAGCGTGTGTCTACGTGCTCCCTCGTACCTACGCAGCACAGGTATGCGCGCACACACCTGGAACATGTAGAACCAGTCCGTGACGTCACGTGAAGGACCCACCGTGAACACGAGATCGTCCTGATTTCCGGGTTCGGCTCCCGGTGCCGGCCACGACGAACGTGCGCCACGACGTCGATTTATTAAATGCACCGCGGCGGGGGGAGGAGGAGGAGGAGGAGGAGGAGGAGGGCTTGTATTATTATATATCTTCCCGTTGCACGGTTTTACACACGGGAAAGCTTGCACTTGAGTTAGGCTAAGCGTTGCCGCGACTCTGTCGCGACGATGACAAAATCGTTGAGAGGGAGGGAGTGGGAGAAGGGTTATGGTTGAATGGATCACGCGAATGGAACACGCGTTCGAGTGCGTTTCATCCTGGTATGGCGCGAGGGGAGTTGGATTCGTGGTTTCGAGGGGGAGGGGGAAGGGAGAGGAGGGAAAATTTTTGGAACAGCGTTTGAAAGGGATGGGATGGGAAGGGAGAAAGGGAGGGAGGGAGGGAGGGAGGGAGGTTTCGATCGAGAGGCGAATTTTAAAAGGAATAATAAAAAAAAAAAAAAAAAAAAAAAAGAATTGTTGGAGGATCTATTTTTGGAATGGAAATGTTAGGTTATGGTTGTTGATGGATAGTTACGATCTGCCCGAGAAGGCAGATTTATAAATCTGTTATATCGCTTTCTCTTCGCTTCCTCTCGCAAGTTCGAGAGTTTGTAACCAAATACGTGGCGACAAATCAAGTTTCAAATAACCATCATACAAGTTAAAGTACAATTTCTAATCCTCCGAAGAAATAAATTCCGTTTGCTAAAGATGCTTGAGGCAATATCGGGAATGATAACCGGTTTTACCCAAGTCGTGGAGCGAAATTATTAAGTTTGAAATACATGTATTTCGAATTGCTATTTTTATTTCGCATTCTTCCTTTTGATTAATTATGGATGAAATTTTATTTAATTTAAAGAATTTAATAAACTCGAATCACAATTTATTTAGTTATTTTTTTTTTTTCTTTTTCATTTCAATATTAATATCGTCGAAATTTTATCCGTTGAATTGACACAAATTAATGATTGACAGTATGACAATTTTTATGAAAATTAATATATCGCGTCAATCAATTTAATCCGGTAAAATATAAAGTAAGTATTTAATCATTTAATCGAGGAATTATTTCTAAAATTGTATAATCGTGTAAACACTGTATAGGAATATATTTAGGAATATAGCTAATTTATTTATTATTATTCATACATTCATATATTCGTATTATTAATCTTAATATTATCATACAAGTAGCGCAGACAGTAGTTCTACTCTCTCTCTCTCTCTCTTTGGAATGAGAAAATATTATAAAGAAATTTTATACATCTGACAGCTTTTTAAGCTGAAAGTTTTTTTTAAACTTGATATCATTAGCTTAAAAAGGTGCTCATGAATTCTTTATAATCTTGGCTTTCATGCACGTCATCTTGCTATAGATAGACAGACTCAAACTGAAGAACACTGTGCTTTATATATTTTAACTTTACACGTGTACATGTATGCATCAAGAGATGAATCATGCATGAATTATGATAAAAAAATGTCGTTCATATCCATACGTACAATAAAATATTTTATTACATAATTATTTCATTAAACGTTCGTGATTATCGAGGAAATAGCTTATTTTATGTTTATTACTATTCCTATAAATCTATAAATAATTCGTAATTTAGTTATAAATTCTCAAGTAATTTCTTAAACATAACTTTTATTTACACAATTTTTTTTCCTATTCTTCTTTTTTGATTTCCTTTAATAAAACTTATGATATTATAATTACTTATAAAACATGTAATATTTTTCGTTAGAAATTTCCCATTAATTTATAAAAATCGTAATCTTTAATACATAATTTTTATAAACACAATTTTTTTTCCTATTCTTCTTTTTAATTTCCTTTAATAAAACTTACGATATTATTACTTAAAAAAAAAAAAAAAAAAAACGTAATATTTTTCGTTAGAAATTTCTCATTAATTTATAAAAATCGTAGTCTTTAATTCGTGTAATTATTTTTTTTTTTTCATAAAATGAAAAAAAATTGAAATTAATACACTAGTATCCAATTTCGTCAAATTCGACAATTATTTTCCACATTAAAATTCTCCGTATCATCGTTACTGTCGGTGGGCGTAATGCAACACGTTTGTGTTGCGATAAAGTCATAAAGTAGGTTAAATCGATTCGCATTAGAAATCTGGCCATATTAAACAAGTGAATAGGAATTAACGTGTGAGGAACAAAAACGGAAATCGATAAAGCCGATTAACTCAAACGAATTGTGAATCAATTGAAAATACAATTCTCTATAAAGCGAGAAAATTACATAAACATAGACACGTGTGAATCAAAGATGAAATCAAATATCGTATACCATAAACAGATAATGAAAAAAAAAAAAAAAAAAATTTAATCTTAATATAATTTCCTCCAGATTTCCAATATGATAAATTTTAACTTGCATTTAATATTTCGATATTCGTGCTCATGTATAAATATCATTAAAAAATAAAAGACATTATATAAGAATTTTAACGAGTATTGAAATATTGAAAAATGACCAAAAAATTATTTCCAAAAACTTCTTTTCATCAAAGATTTTCCTTTACGCTCAAACTTGAATATTCAAATATTCGTAAAATTCAACTTTATCCTACGCCCCATCTCTGATAGACTTGAAACGTTTGCGATAAAAACGCAAAATAAGAGTGGACACACTAGAAGCGGAATCACGAAGATCATAGAACGTATTCCCAAGAGATATCGGCATTAATTCCGGAATGTGACACGGGATCGGATAAAATCCGACCGTTATTCGGCAATTACGGTTGATTAGTCCTCGTTAATCCGTTTGACACGGCTCGTGAATCGGACAGAAAACGCATCTATTTTAATTTAGAAGAAGAAACTTTCGCGATGGGGCAACGATATCGTCGAAAAACCCGCGAAATTCACGATCACGAGGCAACGATAACGTAATAATTTCGCGCCAACCATCCGTGGAATTGCCTTATCTGGTTCCGAGAATAGAAGCGGGTTTATCGACAAAGAGTTGAGAGAACAGAAAAAAAAAAAAAAGAAAAAAAAAAAAGAAAAAAAAGGCGAGAGAAGAAAAGGAGAAACGCGTGTCAGAAGCGGTGGCCAAGCGTTTTGTCACCGTTTTCCATTGTTCACCGGGTGAATTAGGCTGAACGAAGGGAGTAAATGGCTAATTCTAGCGAGCCGTAAAAGCTCGGCTTTATCGCGGAGGGTGAGAAACAGAGAGAAGAGGATACGACGTTTCTTGAAGTTCGGGCTTGAAAGAGGAGATATTGCCCGGGGAAACGTGAAAAGAAACTGTTGGATACTATAGAGATATGCTGTATTTTCAAATATAGAAGAATTTCATTCATTTTTCCGAATTTTCTCGCTCGTCTTTCTTTGAATCGTTAAAAATATTAGATAATAAAAATTTTTAATTTAGCTTTATAAAATAATCATCTTCGTTAGATTTTATTTTCTTCGTTGTTCATCTAGCTTTTTGAAAAGCGAAAAATTAAAAGAATTAAAGAATTTTTATTAAATAATGAATTTTGTACAGTAATGATACAAAATTTATTCTTAGTCAACGAACCGCTCTGCATTTTACAATAATGCTTTCAAATTGTAACAATTTCACTAGCAATTATTATTCAAGACTTTTAGTAATGCCAAAAAGTATTCTTTGTTCTCTGATTTTTTTATTCAGTACATAAAAAAAATATACCAAATATACCTAATATTTTTTTTTCTGAATCAATATTTATTAATTGCTTTTCGAGTCTTTATGATAATGTTTCTAAAAAAAAAAAAAAATCGTTTAACGTAGAGTTTAACTTGGAAAAAATTTCGTGAGGAAATGTGTTCGGATTTTATCGTGGTTTCTTTAATCCAGTGATTGTACGAGGCCTTAAAATTTAGGGTGTTCCCTAGCATGCAGCTGTTCGATAACGCATTATTAATAGACACACATACACTTCGTATAAAGATAAGTGTTTGCATGCGAAAAGCAAGGGGAAAATAAGATGGAGATTTTTTTCCTTCTTGAAACTTGAAAATACATATATAGAATCTATGATGAAAGCAAGCTTTTATGTTTTCAAAGTTAAGAACTTTAACGTTACTTACACTTTGAATTATTTAGGAATAGAATTCCAACAACCACTTCGAAAATTCCTATTAAATGAAAGTTTTCAGATTTCTCAGACAAGTGTTCAACTGGTATTTACTTTATATAACGAAGCCAATAAAAATATTATTTTATCGTTTTATTACATTTTCCATTGAAAATGTAAATTACTTATTTTTGCGCATTATAATAATTACAGCAAAAATAAAAAATAAAAAATAAAAATAATCGAGGAATATTTCTGCGTTTCCTGGTAAGCTCGTATCAATTGCTCTTACTTTGAGAATGAGACCTGCATAACAAGCAATAATAACAAACTGTAATATACAACACGATATATCAAGTGCCAAATATAGCAGCGCGTTAATAAAGTCGGTAATGGTATCCTTAGATCATAATGTCAGAATGTACTAACAATAACCATAATACGCGATTCGAATTAACACCTTTTCTTTCAGAATTATTTTTCAACGTGTTTTAAATAAACATTTTAATTCATATGTTATCACGCAATGAAATTTTTTTACTTCGTTAAACTCAACATTTTTTTACGACGAAAAGAAATAAATAAATTATAGTTTCAAATATTTTCCATATTTTCTCGAAAATTGCGATGATTACACGGGTAAATAAAAATTTAAGCTTTATCTTAAAAATGTGCTAATTTTTAGTGGAGATTTCTTCTTTAATTTTTAAAAGATTAATCAATCGTTAATGTAATTAATTTCTTATCTAATTCTTTAAAAAAATCAATCGATCGTCGGCGATTGATATCTTTTGTAATTTTTCGAAATTAATCGATTATCTGATAAATGGAAGGAGATACGGTGACTAGACTATTTATCTCACGCTTCCACACACAAATATATTGATTAAACTCTATCTTAGATATACTATCTTAATTGCTTACATGTCCAATTTTTAAAAAATTAATCGATAACGTTCGATAGCTAGTTCCTCCACTAATTTTAAAAAGATTAATCAATATCCGATATCTGGGAGGGAGGACATGGTAACCAGACCGTTTACCCCACACGAATTTCCAATACACGAATCTAATATCCAATTAAGAATTTTATCTTAAATTTTATCCTAAAAATATTCAACGAAATAAATTA